AGGAGAAGGAGAGAGACGCTGTTGCTGTGTTAAGCCTCTAATCACACTCTGCTTTGCATGAAGGACTTAAAGTCACTCAATTTAAAGCAACCTTCTCTCCCGTTAAAAACTGGAAACGAAATACTACTGTTTACCTCTGCAGCTTTCCCACACCTGTGACAATTTTTATCACAAACCTATTTTGATATCCACTCAAAATATATTTACATTTAAGCGTATGCATCCAAGTGTACAGGAGGAGTGTTAAACTTTCCTTTTCTCATAATTGTTAATTACATTAGGTATTGTATAGGAAGGTATTTTGACATGACTTTTATGTGATACGAGTTTCTACTATTTTTTGATGATTGCTTTTTCTGAAAAAGAAAATGTATTTATTGTTCAGATTTAACTAAAATTGGATGGAAAATAGAGTGAAAGACATTGTTTTATATTTAACTATTCTAGTGATGTGTTGGGTTATTTTTTTAGAATAAATTGAATTCAGTCGTTTTCTTGAAAATAGTATGGTGAAAATACTGAGAAAGTAGCTGGAGTTTTTGTTGCCACCTGCCGTGTCACTTCTGTTCGGGGATCACTTATCCACTGTTCAAAAAATTAAATGGCATAAAGCCACAAGCAGCAATATAAACCTTTGTCATAGTGAGAGCTCATGTCTGGTGAATCAATCAATCAAATCTTTATTTGTAGAGCACATTTCAAACAGCCATAGGCTTCCCAAAGTCCTGTACAGACAGCGTGAAAAAAAATAAAAAAAATAACACATACAAGAACATAAATATATGTAAACATAAAAATGAAGTCAATGAGAAAAGATGCGTCTAAAGCAGGGATTTAAAGTGCTCGATTGTGATTGATTGTGCGGTTCTAATGTGCAAAGGTCAAGAATTCCACAACTGTGGCCCGATAACAGAAAATGCAGCAGCAGTGCGGTTTCACAGGGGCAGTTGAAAACCCAAACTTTACACAAAACTTTGATTCTTAAAACCCACATATAACAACATGGAACCATCAACATCTCGCCTCAAATTGCATTAAAAGTGACATTTGTGTCTTTATTCGTTCGTATTTAAACTTTTTACACAACTCAATGACTTTATGACCGCCATCTTGCATTGCTTCGGCTGCCGTGAGAAGCGCATGCGCAGGTTTGCACCGGCATAGAGGGAGTTACAATAATCAAGCCTGGAAGTGATTAAAGCATGAATGATCTTCTCAAAATGGGAATGTGGAATATAATATTTTACTTTGCTAAGAACTCTAAGTTGATAAAAACTTCAATGAGTGAATAAAGGTAGTGCTCGGATGGGCCAATGGCACAGACCGGCTGCCTCACTTCCCTCGCCAGAGTGTCGAGTGCATGAATAGTGACTTGAGTGTCTTACTTTAAGAGACATCAACAAGACCATTAAAAAAAAGGGTAAGGAATTATTATTATTACATGTCTCCTATCAATCCTCCATCAATGTAATCCTCAGGGCCGTTCATTCAAAATAACAAAGTCAACATGGCCGACTTTCTATGTATTACCAGTGAGTGGATGTAAAATAACTTCCTTCAGCTAAACGCAAACAAAACTGAAATTATTGTTTTTTCAGCGTCATCTGTCATCTACAGTCTCTCTCCCTAAAACCTTCAAACAAGGTCAGAAATCTAGGGGTAATACTGGACTCAGACTTAAATTTTAATAGCTACATCAAATCAGTAACATCAGCAGCTTTTTACCATCTAAAAAATATTGCCAGGATCAAAAACATAGTGTCTAAAGAAGACCTGGAGATTCTTATCCATGCATTTGTCTCCAGTAGGTTAGACTACTGCAATGGCCTGCTCACAGGTCTGTCCAAACAGGCTGTAAAACAGCTGCAGTACATTCAAAATGCAGCAGCTTGAGTCCTGACTAGAACAGGAAGTACGACCATATTAGTCCGGTCCTCAGGTCTCTGCACTGGCTTCCTGTGGCTCAGAGAATAGACTTTAAAACAGCTCTGCTTGTTTACAAATCTCTCCATGGCCTCGCACCAAAATATATTTGTGACATGTTAGTCCCATATGAACCAGCCCGGACTCTGAGGAGCACAGGGACTGGACTCCTGTTAGTGCCCAGAGTCAGAACTAAACATGGGGAGGCTGCTTTTCAGATTCATGCTGATAAAATCTGGAACAATCTTCCTGAAGATGTGAAACACTCTCTGACAATGTTTAAAACCAGGTTAAAGACAGTTCTGTTTAGCTGTGCATACAACTGAGGGATTTTATATTTTTATCTTTCCTTTTAATGTTCTGTGATTATTTATGATTTTAATGCTATTTTGTACAGCACTTTGAGTTGCCTTGTGTATGAATTGTGCTATACAAATAAACTTGCCTTGCCTATTAGGCTTGTTCCGTATTGCTCAATCCCTGTTTACCAAATTCAAAGTATGTAATATGTCACATTTCCCATACTCGATATATAAGGAAAAAGTAATGGAAATATCAAAGTTTAATAGGGCTATATGTATATGACAATGTTCAAACCCAGATTAAAAACAGTTCTATAGCTGTGACAACAACTGTACTCTTTTTTAATGCATTGTGATTATTCATAATTTTGATTCCTAGTGTGAATGTTTTTTGTTTTTTGCTCTTGTGCTTTGAGTTGCCTTGTGTATGAACTGTGCTATACAATCAAACTTGCCTTGAAATAAGATAAGATAAAATATGTATTGTTTTTATTAATTTAGACTTTATTGAGGACTCACTTGCAAGCACAGGATCCATAGCTAATAATAATGAAAGAAAATTTTGCAATAAAATAGAAATAAAACTGTCTTGATCCCACAATGGAGACATTTACATATTACATTTGGCATAAATAGGATCACCCAAAAGTGAAAAAGACGGGATAAGAAAGAAAAAGTGAAAAGATTCAAACCAGAATCCCCACTTTGGACCAATGGACTCAAAAACTTATTTTTGAGCCGTGTGGAGGAAATCACCGCAATTTTGTGACCGAAGGACAAATATTTGAACAATTGGGCACCTATAAACTCATACCTAGCAAAATAGTGTTATCTAAGTAAAGTGTTTTGTTTTTTTTTATTTAAATTTTTTCTCCCTTTCCTATTAGATTGTACATAATTTAATGACGTTTTCTACATCTTTGTAAACACAATGTCAAACAATATGTGTGACCATGCCAAGGATTTGTTTGAAACAAAGAAAAAAAGAAAAAAAATACAGTATGTTGTGCAATAAAGGTATTTTATGTACAATTGAAATTGAAATGGGGCACTGCAAAGTTTACAGTCCTGGTGCAGGTCATACCATACATTTTTCCCAACACTTAACACAGGTCTTACTGTGAATCATCTCCTAATTTACACAGCTAAAGGAACTGCAAAAATACTACATACCATGCCTATATTACGATAATACCAGCCAGATGGAGATGCCTGTGTCATAAACCTCCACCATACAACCACACAACGTCCACTGTGAACCATTTTCTCAAACATCAGTGACGCAGCTGTCGTGCCCTTCACTCAGGTGTTCATTTGTTTGTTTGAGGAGGAGAATATGAGCTGGTCCTTGGAGACTGCCCCCCCCCCCCCCACTGGCTCTAAGTGTATTAATTGACTTGGCTCTGCTTCCAGCCAGGTGTAACACATTTTGAGGGTTACCCTGGAACGCTGGGAGAGGTCTACAGGGAAATTTGCCCCCATCATGTCGGAGATACACTTTCTGCACTTCCATATGCCGTTTGCTCTCACCTTTATCTAGCACAGGATGGCGAGCAGACAACCAGTTGGTGCATAGGTCTTAATCTAATGACGGAACATTGATTTATGCTTGGGTGTCCCATAGCCATTAAGATAATTGCATGATCACTTTATAACATCCTCCCTTGGTGGCCATGATAATTTGGCTCTCCTCTCCACCTTCCACCAAAAGACCTGTAATCGTATTAAAGCAATACAGAACATGCCAGGAAATATCATCTTCCAGCGTCCGCAAATGGATTTTTGATGATTTCAGCGGACTTCCAAACCTTTTAGACAACCTCTTACCCAGTCTTACAACTCTTATTGATTTGAATCTTCATCCAGCATCTTAAGTAGATGACTGTGGGTGACCTGGTTCGCATTGTCTGGTAACATAGGTGGGGTATTTTCAGCCTTTTATAGCTTATCAAAAACGCAAAGGTAACATTGGTTCAAGGGTGGTGATAATCTCCTAAAATAGTGTCAACTTCAGAAACATTCAGCTGTTTTCTGCTGGGTCCATCTAACTCCATCTATCAACATAAGAGACAAGCAAGACCTCCCTTGGCCCAGTTTCAAGTCAAATCTACCGGAGAGCCAACTAGAAGCATATTCAGGTTTTGGTAAAAACAATTAGATCAATAGAAAAAAATAATAATAATACTTTATCCATGGCAACAAATCTGTATTAGACCCCATCAGAAAAATTGCTGATGAAAATAAATGTACGTTTGAAAAATACTGATTATTGCCTGGATTCCATTCTGTCAATTTGATTCTATTTGTCAAGTTACTATTACTATTTGAAATGTATTACCGTAATCAAAGATGCATGGAATAGTACATGAATCATTAATGGTATATAATGATGACCAATGTTGTTCTTAACTCCTGAGAAAATTGTTAAAATTTTCAAAAGCAATACAGAACAATACAGTTGGGTGACATTGGTGGTTGGTAAATTTTTCTTGTGAGACTGTGAGAAATGTGCCTAGTTATATTCAAGACATTTAGCATCAAATGTACTAATCCATGTGCTAAACTGAGGGTGCAATCTAAAAACCAGTTTGCTACTCTTTTACGCAGTGACTTGTGCAGAGCAAACACTCAGTCCAAGAAAGCCCTTAGTTCAAAGAAAACCTGTGAAATAAAAGTTGTGAAAAAAATGTGACATAAAAGTTTTTTTACCACTTTCATGTCAAATTATGAATTGATCACATACTATTAACTGATCAAATACCCAGGAATCCTTACCTTTCTTTCAGGTGACTTTGTTGCAAATACAGGCATGTGACAGGCCAGGAGTGGATACCAAAAGGGTGGCATTGTTTTCCCATCATCCTCTCCACATAACCAACCCGGTGTGTTCTCCTCACCTACAACGGAGAAAGACTTTGCTGATGAGCTTGTACAAGTTGAATAATATAGAATTACCATGATCTAATCTTATTGGTTTTAGCTACAGTTAACAGAAACAAATTAAACAGAGGTTAGATTTATGTTTTGCAGCGGCAGCGCAAAGCTTCTGGCCCTACTGCTGTGACACTACTGCTAGCCTTGTTCCACCTGTCAGAGACTTTTATTAACAGACAAAAACACATTCATATTAGTATCACTTCAGAGATTTCATATGGTGCATTTGCTTGTTGACACACGTTAAACATCCACAGCGTAAAAGCTTTCCATTGGCATACATTTGCTGACAACCCCAAATTGCACTTACAGACGAAGCACATCTCCTTTGACATAGTTACCTTAAAGAGCATGCCTTTATGTTTTATTCTTTAAAATGATAAATATAATGTCGTCAATGTAATCAAACATTAGCCACCTGCGGCAAGTAAAATGAAAAGCATTACGAGCATGTGAATGCAATAATCACTCCACATTGAAGAAGGCGAGGCTAGATCCTGCCATCTCAGGACCTCAGCGGTGATTAAGATTACACTTAATCAACAGTGAGCGTCAGCCCCAGCAGGGAATACTGCTGCAGGATTTGAGTAATAATGATGGGCTCTCTGGTCCCAGCACAAACGACCAGCAGTCTTAGGTGTACCCTGATGAGGCACAAAGTATAGAATAAGTAAAAACAACCTGTGCATGTTCAGTTACAAAAGTAATCCTGGATTCATATTGAATCGGATGCTTATGTAGGAAAATAATTATTATTAAGTAAGTTTGGCATGGAATAAATTGTTTACTACAAGACAGCATCCAGAAGACATACAGTTAGTATAATATTGGACTGGGGATACCACGTTATCAAATTGTACGTCTGTAACAAAAACTTAAAACAGGCAGAAATTATAACAACAAATCTGAGAAAAGACACATTTTTCATTTTGAGTGGTGAAAAACTTATCAAGGCTCATGCTGCACCAAATGCGGTGCCAAAATCAAATGCTAACTGAATTACATCATATCGTCACTTTTGATATGAGACTTTCTAAAGAACAGAGCCGTCAAGAAACTTTTACTCAGTTTGTCTACTTGGAAAGTAAGTCTTGTCTGCTCATAATTAAAACACTGCATGGTCAGGGACACATTTATCTCTGCATTTGTTTGGGCACCCGTGGCCTAGAATGCAACCTGTCAAGAGAAGTGGACACAACAATTGATCCATCTTCAGATCATCAAATTAACCCAAGAATTTTATTGGCAAAGTTACAGTGTCTCGTCTGTGTCTAAATTCAATATGTTCTTGTATATCTAGAAATTACAACAGTGGTTATCTCGGAGGTCTAAACAAAACCATTGAATTTGCGAACACAGATCAGAGAATCTAACAGTTGTAACGCAAGAAATGCAACGATAAAAAACACATTGCGCTAGGGCTGGGCGATATGACTGAAAACTATATCACAATATAAGTATTTCATATTGGTCAATAACAATATGTTGGCGCAGCCATCGCCGTTGAAGAGTGAAATATCGGAGTGACAGAGGAAAAACTTAACGCAGAGACCTAGGTTCAGTTCGGCTGCACACGTTCACAGTCACACAGGTGTATGAGCAGAGAGCCATTTATTAACGTTGAGCAGCGGTGTGTAGCCGCGCCCACACAGAAAGTAGGTCACTGGGTCAATTGAGGACATAAATTCAACACAATATATATTGATTTTTGATTTTTTTTTACCTAAATAAATAAATTTGTTGTGTTGGCTAACGCACGTTAGCAGCCTTGTTTACAGTCACGGGGGAATGAGGCCGGAGGCACAGTGTCCTCCATTGTTCGTCCTGGTTTAAACCTGGTTTAGTCCTGGTTTAATCCTGGTTTAGTCCTGGTTTAATCCTGGTTTAGTCCTGGTTTAGCTCCTGTTTTGGGTCCCTGTGACAGCTCTGTGCGGCTCTCTGATAGCCGCACATGGGTCCAGAGGATCTCTCGCTTTCGCCGAATTTTACTCACAGTATTTATTTATTTATTGTTTATTTGGTTGGGACAGTACATGTCAATGAAAACATCACTCCGGATTGCAGCCATGAGCTCATTTGCATTCGTTGTCCCACATTCACACTGACAAACACACACTCATTCACCCTGAACTATTGCACATGTTTTTAGTGGTAGGGGAAACCGGAGTACACAGAGGAAACCTACGCAGACACAGGGAGAACATGCAAACTCTACTCAGAAAGGCCCTGCTCCGACCGGGATTCGAACCCAGAACCTTCTTGCTAAGAGGTGAGAGTGCTATCTACTCAGCCACCGTGCCACGCTTCAGCGCGGAAGTAGTCCACTACGCCCTGTCGGTACTTATTTTCCGATAATGACCTGCGTAATATACATTATCCCTTCCTTATCACTCATAGAGTTTGTCTTTTTTTATATTGATTGACACCTGTATGAATATTGTTAAATGAAGAAGACATTTGTTTGTTGTAGTTATAGGGCTTCTTTTTTGTCAACCCGGCTCAGTAGAAATGACAAAAACACGCCAAACAGCAGTTTCCGTTTGAAATAATATTTATTAATAACCAAATGTATTTTTTTATGAGGTATGGAAGTCTGTAGTGAGTGCATGCGAGTGTATGTCTACAGTGTTGAATGATGTGTAGAAAATAAAACAAAAAGTAAGTAAGTAAGTAAGTTTTTATTTATATACCGCCTTTTCACTGCAGATCTGAGTCTCAAAGCGGTTTACAATTGTTAATTTTGGGCATTTGTCTCTCACTCCACACAGAGATGGGAGCGGGGTCGCCAGTACAGGAAGCGCATGTCAGAACTATTGGACATATTTTTAGTGGTAGGGGAAACCGGAGTACCCGGAGGAAACCTACGCAGACACGGGGAGAACATGCAAACTCCACTCAGAAAGGCCCTGGTCCGACCGGGATTCGAACCCAGGACCTTCTTGCTGAGAGGCGAGAGTGCTATCCACTCAGCCACCGTACCGCCCGAGAAAAAGAACCGAGCCAAACGAACCAAACCAAAACCAAGCAACCAAACTAAAGCAAACCACACAAAAAAGGAGGTGGGACACGCAGGTGTCAGGATGGGAGCAGGTTGGTATTCGCAGCAGCTTTAAAGGTGCGGCTCAGTCTGTGACGCACCTGTCAGCGGCAGTAACAGATGGCAAATTGTTATTGCCATCTGTCATGGGTTAAAAAGCCTTGAAAAAATGCAAATCATACTTTAAAAAACACTTTATATGGTATAGCATATGACTACAGGTACATCATATTATGTGAATTAAAAAATAAATGTATTGCTCTCGAAAACATCCACTCAGCTAAAGTCTATTTCTATTAAAGTGATGTGATGTGATAATGATAAACCTATGAATAATGCAGTCATTTGTATTTACAGTCACTCTGAGTGTGAAGATTGTGAATTATTAACTTTGGGGTTGGCAGCCTCCTTCCACAGTTCAGCTGCTGGATTCAGAGGTGTGCAGGTCACTCGAAAGAGGAGTTTAATTGAGGGCAAGTTTTTTGCAGGTGAGACGGCAGGTCTGGTGATTCTCATTACCTCTGTGTAATCACCATCTTTCTTTGGATAATTATTAGATTTGCATATGTAATAGTATTCCAACTGGGCTCAATCTTTGCCTTAGCTAAATTTGTCCAAAAATGGATTAAATAAAACCTTCTATGTGTGGAGAAAAGATTAAACATAAAAATTGACCAAACGTAAAAGGGTTACCTGATCAGACATATTAGTTTCTAAGCGAGAAAGGCAATAATGATGGCAAATGCTGAGGAATCTGTAATGTAAATCAACAAGATACAACGACTTGTATATTAATAGAGTTTAAGTAATCTTTATAATGCATTGTTTATTATTGTATATTTTTTAAATAGAGCTTTTTTGGACGTAAAGATGCTTCTCATGTCAATATTCATTCATTCAATACAAAGTGGTGATAAATTACTACTGTAGCCACAATTGCCCTGGGGTGCATTGAAAGAACCGAGGCAACCAGTACGTGCCATTGGCCCCTCCGACCACCACCAAACATTCATGCAGACACCAGACACCAGACTCTTTCTAGGCCATGGGTGCCCAAATATTATGCTTCCAAGCGCCAACGCGAAGTAAACCTTTGCAGGCACGGGGAGAACATGCAAACTCCACTCAGAAAAGCCCTGTTCCGACCGGGAATCGAACACAGGACCTTCTTGCTGAGAAGCGGGAGTGCTATCCACTCAGCCAATGTGCCGCTGTTGTCAATCAAGCTGTCAGAGAGCAGTCAGAATGCTTATTTTTTCAGAAAAATGGACATGCATAAAAAGAATGGGGAGAAGGCTTACAGGGAGAAACTCGTCAAGGATGCCAAAGACCTAACCTGGTCGTACCACATCACAGTACAAATTTTATTTCGTAATAAGGTCTGGAGGTGCTCCATTGAGCTCCGTTAACAGGTGGGAGGCGTTACTCCTTTTGTAGATTGAAAATTGGATCTTAGTTTACCATCACGTATGTAATGCGGCCGAGTGAGTCGTTAGCATTTAGTATTTAGTCTAGCCATCTCCATTGCCGCTAACGGAGCCCATGGGGAGTAGCGCCACAATCTTTACCAGCAATTACATTTGCTAAACATTCCTCTTGCTCCGGCTTCAATTTCTTAATAGAACCAGACCGGAATACTTCACTATAGCATTCTTCGCCATTGCGACAGTAGCTCAGTTGGTAGAGCTTTGGCCTTTGAGCCAGAAGGTCGTGGGTTCAAGCCCCGCTCAAGACTTTCACCATCGACTCCCACTGTCTGCTGTCGTTGTGTCCTTGGCAAGACACTTAACCTCTGGGAACATCAGCCACAGTGGGGCGGCTGCGGCTGTAAAGTGCCAAACTGCCGTTGTGTCCTTAGGCAAGACACTTCACCCCCATTGCCTAGAATGAGTCTGGTGTGTGTATGAATGGTTGGTGGTGGTCGGA